CTTAACTTATTGCGGAAAACCCCGATAACCAAACTGAAAAACCCGATTATCAAATTGCAAGTTTCTTGAATTTCCCGAAAAATTGAAATGGTGGTTAGGAGGTCGTCTACTTCAACTTAGCTGTGGTCCAACTTACCGTTCTGTTACTTCAACTTACCTGTGGTCCAACTTACCGTTCTGGAGTTAGATTAGTAGAGGTCGTCTACTTCAATTTACCTGAGTCCAACTTACCGTTCTGGAGTTATATTGGTATAGTCCGCGGCGCAGAGCGCCGCGCACACCTTTAATTTACATGCGGAACAACCTGCTCCCAGCGGCAGCGGGAAGCAACTTGGACTACATTTTTGCACTTTAGACTTACTTCTAAAAATTTCCTTTTCTGCCTATCCTATTTCCCCACCCCCCACCCCCCCAGAACCCTATAAACACCATTTTTGCAGGACAAAATGCTGGGACTAGGTGTATATGAGTGGGGCTACATAAGCTACTTTTGCCGGATTAGCTCTGCCGACCTCTTCCCTCTAATATGAACCAATTGATCAATGACTAGGGCCTAGTCGTTTGGTCAATTACTGATGGGATCCGACAGAGTGGTTACTGCAGTGGCGTAGGCCTTGATCTAAAGCATGTCATACGCGTACACGACAATGGGTCAATACTCAAAAGAAAAAACTTAGTGGAGCCTGATAAACACATGCTGTAAACCAATGTAGCCATTATTCTGGTTTTGTTCAGTGGCAGCAACACAGCCCGTTTTGGAATGCAGAAGAAAGTATACAGATAGCTCAGGACATACTCGGAGGCAGCTTGGGGGTCGATCCGAATCCGGACTAACAGGATCAACTTTGGTTGGCAGTTTGCTGGGATCCTCCTCCAAGTGCACGTGTTTCACGTCGGATTTCTCATTGATTGACAGCATGCTGGTAGTTCGCATTGAAAGGATACGGCCAATCAGACGGTGGGGAACAAGGAGGCAGAGTTCGTGATATTCAAGGGCTGCACGCGCCGCCTTTGCTGCTTCCTCAGTCTGAAATGTAACACAACGCTTAGACTTCGGCAAAATTTAATTAATAATCCTGTACAGAAGAAGGGAACAAGAAAGTAGCCCGAGGACAAGAAATATGTTTACTTATATACCTACTATATGCAATTTAGTAGGCACTGTTATGTTCACTACTGCACCCCTGGATAGCGTGGTTTTTTCCGATTAGGACTAATTCTTCGTTGGTCGCCTGCGTCCGCAGTCTCCCGACTGTGTCCTCCAATTATAAATCCAGTAGGAGGCGCTATAATTATAGCAGACATCCAAAGGGTGGAAAGCCAGTAAGGATGTCAACAAATAGTATTGGGTCCTCGCAGGCAGTACACCTGTCTAAGGGAGAGAGGGGGCTGGAGGCCGCCACCATGGAAGGGACAACAATCCTGCCGCCTCGATTGCGAGGAAACACCACTTACACCATCTTCGCTCCGACTCAAAGTGACCGCGCTCCCGTATCTTTAAACAAGTATCAATCTCCCTGTCCTGCTGGGTCCTACACCTACTTGCAAGCACCTTTGCGCAGTTCTTGTTTCCGATTGGTTGTATTTGCCATTTTAATAATGGCGCGCAAATTTTGGGTTATTCAAATAAGTATTTCATATTATGTTTTCCCCTTATACGCTCTACTTTTTAATTTATTTGTTCACTCCAGTGGTATGACCGAACCATAAAAACCATAGTAACACCACTCCCGTAAGACAGAATCCTGGGGCTAGGGATATCTAAGTACCTCGGGCAACTTTATTGTTGTCCAGAAAGATTCTGAAGGTTAAATTAAAGACTTAAGTTTTTTTCAAGGAAAGACGTCCCTTGGGAAAATGAGTAAATTTATTCAGTAAATTTTCGACACTGGACCCCCAGATCGTTGTCAGACTTGAGAAAAATGTGCAAAGAACAGTTAACATTTCAAAGTGCTGATACAGTTATATAG